AAAGCCATTCAGCCAGCCTTTTTTCAATCAATAGTAGCGCGGTAGATCTTTCCGAAGTAAGCCATAGCACAGTAAGCATCGTCCGGGCCACATCGACCCACGGCGCTTGCGGGTATGCTTGCCGAGATGTGACTTATTCACCCAGCGATCGCGTGTCTTCTTCAAAGACCGCTGAATGCCGTCGCGGTAAGCGCTCCAGGGTGAAGACATGATTGGGCAAAAGAACCCATATTGTGCCCAGGTTTGGATCCCCGGTTGGCGGATGCCCTACTGAAGTCAAAGGCAGATCGATGGTCGCCGAGTCGGAAATGGCATAAGGAGAGGAGATGTGTGGACTCGCTCGCTTTCGGGTCCTGGGCAGCAAGCTTTTCGGCAAAGAAGAGTGCATTCTCGTAAGAGTTGTTGTCAAGGTGGTAATATACGACCTGGCGAAGAAGACCAGTGATGGCTGTACTGGACGGGGCCATGACAGCGACTGGTATGCACGTCGAGAATATCAAGGGGGGGTTACTATTGTCGTCGGCAAACCAGGGCCATGGATACGGTCGAGTTGGGTGATGCTCGCCAGATACAGAATCGCTGGTGAGCTTCCTCGTCGTTGTCACTGGTGGTCGCGGTCGCTGCTAGGGCGGTGGCTGGCGAACGAGAACACAACCAACAATCAGTCATGCGGTGGGATGCGACGAACAGCAAGGTCAGCCGATGTCGCCAGGTATAGCTTCTAGCAAGGCTTGCTCGGCGATGAACCGCCTAGTTGTCGTCGTGGCAAACCCTAGCAGCTCATGCACGCTTCAGCTGTCCAGGGCGGTCGAGGGCTGGTTATAGTAGGAGGTGGTTCGGTTGCGCTCTTGTCGTCTGTTTGGATGCTGCAGACGGGCAGTCGCGAAGCAGGTGGCGAAACACGCCTGGATTGCAATCGCTGCTGGGACAGGAGGATGAAGATCGCAGGTCGTGCCGGCTGGTCGAGGGGTCGCGATGATGGTCGAATGGTGGGGTCCGTCCGGTCTGTTTGGGGGTTTCTCGACAAGGGGGAGACAGGCAAGGTGAAGGCGCACTCGAAGCAGAAAAGGGACAGCTAGGGAGCTCCCGTCGGAAGGTGGAGGGACGAAGAAGGAACAACGGGGCCCATTGAAGGGGTTCTGTATCAAGTTTGACGAGCTCACTCGATCTTCCGCTACGCCCAACGGAGGGAAGGGACACGGCACGAAAGGGGAGACTGAGTCGTGAGGATGGCTCGGGCGGGTTCGTGGGATGTTTGGTGTTGACGGCGACTGTCTTCGCGCTGTGGTTCGGTGGCTGGGTGGCTGCGATTGGCTGACGCGACTGCCTGGCAAGCTCGCCCTGGCAACAGGGCAACGGCAACGGATGCGGGTGCGTGAACGTCCAGTGAATGTCCAGTGAACAGGGAAGCGCCCAGCCGCTGGAACGATGATGGATTGCCCCATTTCTTCGACAGGGGTTCACACCTCTGCACCCCCGCCCGCTGCGCCTGCATTCGACTGACACTGGCAAACTGGCAAGCGCCAGGCAGCGTGTGTCAGGGCTTGAGGGTGCCAGGCATGTGGCAAATAAGGTCCAGCCACCAGAATTCCTCTGGTACGCCACATCACCACGTTGCCTCGCCGAGCGAAAACGTCCAGAAGCATGTCGTCACTCGCCAGACACACCTCACGAGCTCACATGCAGCTCCATCCATCACACCCACACATCGCTCATTCTCGGCGGCGCTTTCACTGAGGCTCAACTCACAATCACCGACCACGGCCCAAATCCCAGCACAAGGCACTTTCCATCCTCGTTCTGAAACGCCGCACATCGCCACCAGCAATCCCCGCATCCAACCACGCCCACCACCACCACCACCACTACCACCACCACCACCATCATGGCCCAAAAAGCAAAGAAGGACCGCGCCAAGTCCAACACGGCAGCTCTCAACAACCTCCACATTGGCTCTGCCACCGTCAACGTTGCTTTCCTCGCTTTCCACTTCCTCTTCCGCTCCCGCTCGCTCTTCTGGTACTTCCTCCTCTCGGCGCCCGCCTTCATCTGCCAGTTCGTCCTCGAGCGCTCCGGACGCCCCACGTACGACGCCAGCGGCGCCCTGCGCACCGCTGGTGAAGATCTCGCCTCTGCCGGTCTGACCGAGTACATGTTCGACGTCGTCTGGGTCACGTGGGCCTCCGTCGTGGCCGTCATCCTCTTCGGCAACGGCGGCTGGCTCCTCTGGCTCGCCGTCCCTGCGTACGGCGCCTATGCCGGCTACGGCCTCATGGGCGCCGCCAACAACGCCGAGGGGGCCGAGGCCGCGCCTGCCGGCAACAGGCGGCAGCGACGTGCTGCTTAAGCAGGCCTGGAGGGGCCCTGGAGGGGGAGCGCGGTCCCGATGGCCAAGAGAAGGGATGTTGGACTCGCTCGAGGGAACGCTGCAAGGTGTTTTATTCTTTCCTGATCTAGTCTTTGTATCTTGTCGTGTGCACGTTGCGCAACCCC